TCTCCTGATGCGTGTCTCCCGTTGGCTTCCTGGGGTGCCTGTCCCCCGCGTTCCAGGGGTCGTTCAGGTAGCCCGTGAGGTTGTCGAGGGTAGCAGTTGTTATTTGTTCTCCGCATTCTTGCTCGAGGTTTCTTGCGCTTGTGCTCGCTTTCATCGTGGCCCTGTTCGTTGCTGCTGGGTTTGTGGAGTGGAGGGTGCCATGGGTTATCTGAGGTATTATGCGGTCAGCCTTGAATTTCGTTGCCTGATTTTAGCTTTCGCCCCTTGTCTCGTTCAGTTTTTGAGCGAAGGGTCTCGGTTTCGATGTTTAGTTTTCGTGTACCCGCCACCGTGCCATAATCGACGTTCGATGTGTGCCAGCATCCTGGATGCCTTCCTGTTTGTTCAGTCTTGCTTTCCGGGAGGGCTCCGCTCTGCCCCCCGTTGACGTTATTTAGAGCCCGTATTCGTTCACATGAGAGGTGGCTGTTGGTCCACCCTGCCTCGGGTGTGTGCGGGTCCCCCTGTCTCTCCTCTGATCGTCTGTGGCGCGGCCGTCGGTGTGGCGACGTTGTGGGGGATGCCTGCCGATCGTCTGCTGATTGCAGGACAGATGCTCGCAATGAGGTCCGGGGTATCACTGCCGCTGTGACCGCGCGGTTTTCGTTCCTTCTGCGAGCCGCAGGTTTTCGACGATGTCTGTTGGGCTGCGTGCCTTGTTATGGCTCTCGGTTTTGTCTTCCTCGATTCTTTTCTGCCCTTGTTTTTGCTCCCCTGCTGCCTTTGCTGTTCTCCGCTGTTGCTGGTGCTTTGCGCCCAACCTGTCCGCTGAGTCAGAATAATCTGTTCTTTGTCGTAATCGTTGGCACCATCATCATTAGCATACGCATCATCGTCATCATCGTCATCATCGTTACCATCGTCATCGTCATCGCCGTTGTCATCATCGCCACCGCCTCCAGTAAGATTCCAGAGGATCCTTGAAGGCTCCTGCCTAAAAGCGCCCTAGATGCTGCCACCGGACGCCTCAGAACATGCCTATCAACGCCGCAGAAGCTGCCCAAGAGCGCGTTAAGGCTGCCAAAGGGCGCTTTAGAAGCTGCCCATGAACGCTTGCGTATGTTCTGGAGGTCCTGAGCCCTCAGAAGCGCTTCTGAAGCTTCTGAAGGTGCAGCCAGGGAGTGGGCCAGTTTCCAGGGAGCGTATTCTTATCGGAAGGGGGGGGGGAACATTGGGGGAGGCGGGACAATGCGAGGAGGAACGCGAGGACCACGGATGGAGAGCAGCAGGGGACGGTGGGGCGGGGACGCGGGAGGAGAGAGGCGGGACGAGGACGAGGGCGGAGGAAGGAGAGTTCGGGAAAGGGGAGGCGGGATGAGGACCTCAATGTTCGGGCTGGCGACGAGGACGATCATGGCCCCCTGCCCCAGGCCCGTCCCCGCCGGCGGAGCGCTCTCGGGCGATGTCCTCTGAGGAGCGACGCCGGCCCGGTGGGTGTCCGCCGCGCTCGCCCCGCGGGCCGTGGCCGGGACGACTGCTACGGCGACGAACACGATGCTGGCGATGATAGCGACGACGTTTACGACGGTGTTTATGATGGCGGCGGTGGTGGTGATGCTGATGAAGTTGACGAAGATAGTGATTGTGATGGTGATGGTGGTGGTGGTGTTTTTGATGACAGTGGTGGTGATGATGATGATGATGATGATGATGATGATGATGATGATGATGATGATGATGATGATGATGATGATGATGATGTGTAAGAAGGTGCTGATTCCGCTGCTGATGGTGGTGACGCGGCTGCTGCTGATGATAGTGCGGGCGATGACGATTGCGAAGATGCGACTGGCAACGGTTACCTTGACCATGATTATGAGGATGCCGATGACGATGATGACGGTACTGCTGCTGATGCTAATGAGGACGACGACTGTTGACGAGATGTGCGACGATTCTGATGATGCTGTTGATGGTTAGTACGACGAGGATGATGATGGCGATGACGATGACGATGACGATGGCGATGATGATGCTGATGATGATGGTGGTGATGATGGTCATGATGATGCTGTTGATGGTTAGTACGACCAGGATTATGATGGCGATGACGCTGACGATTGCGATGATGATGATGATGATGATGATGGTGATGGTGATGGTGATGATGATGACGATGATGATGATGATGATGATGGTGGTGCTGATTCTGGTTATGCCCATGGTCATGATTCGATGGTGATGGAAATGGTGAATATGATGAAGATCATGATGGTAATGACTATGATGACGGTGATGGTGATGGACCTGGTGATGATGATGCTGATGATGCGGATGATGGTGATGCTGATGGTGATGGTGATGATGATGATGCTGATGATGTCCATGCTGATGATGATGCTGATACTGATGATGAGTGATGATGACGATGATCGTGATGATGGTGATGATGAAGATGAGGATGATGATGACGATGACGATTATGGAACTTATGATGATGCTGATGCTGATGGTGATGATGATGCTGATGATGATTATGATGGCGATGATCATGATGATGATGATGCTGATGATGATGATGATGATGACGATGATGATGATGATGATGATGATGATGATGATGATGATGATGATGATGATGATGATGATGATGATGATGTGTAAGAAGCTTCTGATTCCGCTGCTGATGGTGGTGACGCGGCTGCTGCTGATGATAGTGCGGGCGATGACGATTGCGAAGATGACGATTGCGATGTTGTTGATGATGATGATGATGATGATGATGATGATGATGGTGGTGGTGGTGGTGGTGGTGGTGGTGATGATGATTAAGCACACGCAAGCGCGCGCGCACGCACGCGTGACACACAAACATTCGCATGCACACACACACACACACACACACGCACACTTTTTTGGCCCCGCGGCCCCGCGCGCAGCGACAATGCGTCCAACGCAAACACACACCACACCACACAACACACACACACACACGCCCGCACACACACTCACACACTACCACCACCAGCAATAACAACACGCACACACAACGACAACACACACACCACACAACACACGCAACATACACCCACATACAACACACAACGGCACACGCACACTTATACATTTACAGACATGCGCCCTTACACTATTACACACGTTCGCATTTACACTCTTGCACACTTGCGCACTTACGCACGTACGCGCTTACACACTGACACACTTCCACACAATTATACACTCTCTTACGCTCACTTACACCCTTAGTCACTTACAAACTTACACACTTACACACTTACACACTTACACACATTTACACGCTTACATACACTTACACACAAACACACATCATATGTATACTCTTAGTTTCTGACACTTGCATACCATATGTATACATGACTATATATGCTATTTTTCTATTATGACATGCAGCAGCATTGCATATTATACAGTGCAACGTTATTTTATATCATAAAATATATTACCAAACTATATCATAATCTAGTTACTTTTCTTATTGCCAATTTTATTAACACCATCGTACATTATATTATATTCAGTTACATACAAGTATGACATTATGTACACCATGTTGTACTGCACTATACTGTGTACTACCCTAAGTTCGAATGCAGCATTTTATAATGATAATTCCTCGTGTGTAGCATTTTTTGGTTACATTCTATTGTGCTGCATCATACACTATATAGTTATATCATATATGTGAGTATAGTTTGAACACATTATGTTATGGTGCATTTCCTTATATTGAACTGAAGCCCAACGACCTTTATAATGCATTATGTATCATAATGTATTATGATATTTCATGTCATGCCATGTTTTGTTATACACAGTGCTGTAGTGTATTGCAGCATCTTATGTTACACAACCACACATACACATATACACATACGCGCATATACGTACACACGCATATGCATACACACATACACACACCACACACCACACACCACACACCACACACCACACATACACACACCACACACCACACACCACACACAAGACCGCGCGCCCAGACACCCATCCTCCTCCTCCGCGCCATCCTCTCTCTCTCTTGGCCCCCCGCCCGTCGCCCACACTACCCAGCCTGCCCCTCCTCTGCGCTATCCTCCATTTCTCTCCCCCTTCGTCTCCGCGCCCTCGCGCCCGCCCCCTCGCCCTCTCCGCTGGCGTTGCGGAGGGAGGTGGCGCCGCCCCTTTTTCTGGGCTCTCCACTCCAACCACTCCGCCCTCGCGGAGCGCTGGCGGGAGGAGGGGGGTGGGACGCGCAGGGACCACCGAGCGAACACACTCACGCGCACACCCACGCGCACACCCACGCGCACACCCACGCGCACACACACTTGCGCACGCACTCGCACTCGCGCGCGCACTCACTCACTCACTCGCGGGCTGCCCTCGAGGCGTGCGCGTGACGGTGACGGCACAACCAAGGTAGAACATCAGGGTTTTCCATGATGCTGTCTCATTCCAATTTCCGCCCGTTTCCGGTTGAGGCTCTCGTCCGCGCGCTGGACTGTCTGCACCAGATGATGACGATGACGATGACGATGACGACGTCGACGACGACGGCGACGACGACGACGGCGGCGACTACGTCGACGATGATGATCACGATTGTCATTATGATGTTGCTGCTGCTGATGTTGAGGATGATGACAATGGTAATGCAGATGCTGATGATGCTGACGGTGATGGTGGTGGTGATGATGGTTGTGATGGTGATGGCTATGCTGATGATGATGGTGATGATGATGATGAGGAGGAGGAGGAGGAGGACTTGGTGGAGGACTTGGAGGAGGAGGAGGAGGAGGAGGAGGAGGAGGAGGGGGAGGAGGAGGAGGACGAGGAGGAGGAGGAGGAGGAGGAGGAGGAGGAGGGGGACGAGGAGGACGAGCGTCGAGGAAGAGGAGAAGCGTCGAGGAGCGGCGCTGCGGTCGCGCCATGTGAGGGGGGGACCGTGCGGGGCGCCGCGGGGGCTTCCGCGCCCGCTCGCCAGCCGTTCGGCTCGGGGATCGCGGGGGGGCCGCGCGTGGTGGACGCATCCGGCGAGGCGGGCCGATTCCGCCCGCCCTTCCTGCGTGAACTGATGAGGGGAAGCTGGGACTTCAGTTTTTTCAGGCCCTGGCGTTTCCTCATCCTAAGCGTTTCGGGCTCGGTCTCGGCCCGTGATAATCTTTCCAGCCCTGGCCTCTTCCACTTCATGAAGTATCTTAGTTCCACTTTTTCCAGCTTCTCTGTATGATTCCTCTTTGGCCGTCTTCAGGGCCCCTGGTGCCAGTTTTCGGCGCCCAGAGAGTTTGGTTCAAGAGTCAGGCAAGTCCGCGGAGGGGGGGGGGGGTCGGCGGCAGCCGTGGTAGGCCCCCCCCTCCTCCTCTTCTCTAGAGGGCAAGCACATTACGAAGCACAGTGAATTCACATATTAGAGCTTCTCGGTGACTGCTCAGTGCAAGTTTGCCATCTTGTGTCACGGAGATGACGTATGCCCAAAAGCCAGTCCCCGAGGCCTTCCCCTGCGTCGCAGTCTGGCCGTGGACTCCTCCCGGTTCGCGGGCTGCACGCTCGGAGCGCGAAAAGCTCTGGCGTTGGCTGATCTGCTCTCCTCGTCGGCCGTGATGGTCTGCCGTGCCGTTCAGCCGTCCGGGGGGCTTTTGGGGGGTCTTCGGAGGAGGAGGAGGAGGAGGAGGAGGAGGAGGAGGAGGAGGGTGGGGAGGAGGAGTACGACCAGTGGAAACCCAAGAGTCATCAACGATGTTGGAATTAACCCTCCCTCCAAGCTCCCTCTTCATAGGCTCCCACAACCGTTCATTTCCACTGAGGGACCTGCCTCGTTGGAAGACAGCAGTTTGAAGATCCTGAAGCGTGCCAAACATTGTTCTCGGGATTTCAACGCCACGTATGAACCTGACTGCTGCGCCTTGCCGATCCAGAATCGTGCCAGAACGCCGTCTTTGGCTTCGACACAGCGAGTCAACATAACTGTTCCGCCCGTATAATCCTGAATCCTTCCAAAAAACCTTTTCGGGTACGATGTGCGTGGCGCTAAAGCGAGAGCCACATTTCGAAAAGGAACCGCCCTCAATCCGTGAAGCTCTCGCTAGTTTTTGCGTGCCCGTGAAACAAGTTCATAACACAGGTGGCACAGGGATGGAAGCCAAAACGATGTTGAATCAGACCAGGCGGGGCCCGTCGCATGAAAGGACATCCGCCTATCAATGTTACGGAAAAACGTTTCGTCTGCATTGCGCGGTGCATGTTAGCCATCCGACAGTGGGAACGAAATCGCACGGCAGAGCGTGGAACCGCCCACGCCAGCGGACCTGTGAAGGATGAGCTTGGAAGAGCACCCGGGCATTAAGTGGCGTCCGCCTCCCAATGTCGTCACCTGGCGCGCAAGCCAAAACATGGCATATCAATAACATGGCCCATGGTGCACGCCTGCGCACGCTGCAAACATTGAAAGGCGAACGTCACTTAAGGATGCTCTTTCGGCGTTGCCGTCTGCAGATCATTCACAACGATCGTCTCGTTGATTTTGTTATAACTTCTTTCCCGGCTGTGTAAAACGAATGTGCGCGGCGCTAAGGCGAGAGCCGCATTTTGGAAACGACCCGCCCTCAATCCGTGAAGCTCTCGCAAATAAAAAACAATGCGCGCGGCGCTAAGGCGAAAAACACATTTTGAAAACGACCCGCCCTCAATCCGTGAAGCCCTCGCAAATTTTGAAAGCGAGTGTGCGCGGCGCTAAGGCGAGAACCACATTTTGAAAACGAGCCGCCCTCAATCCGTGAAGCTCGCGCATATGTTTAAACCGAATGTGCGCGGCGCTAAGGAGAGGGCCACATTTCGAAAAGGAACCGCCTCAATCCGTGAAGCTCTCGCAAATCTTTAAAGACGAATGTGCGCGGCGCTGAGGCGAGGGCCACATTTTGAAAGCCACCCGCCCTCCATCTGTGAAGCTGTTGTCAATTCTATAGGTTTCAGAGTCATACATGGTGAGAAAGTCTTAGGCGGAACGCCCGGCCCACCCTAAAAACTGGCTTCGGGGTGCGACAGGGAAGAGTTATCTGTAAGGGGAAGGAATGAATAGGCGTTTGGCCTCATGGGGCTTCTCGGAGCCTCCTGGGGGCCTCGCGGCCCCCTCCCCTCCGCATGTCAACATACAGGGTGCAGATCCTGGAGGAGATGGGCGCCAGAGGCTTCCGCTGCTGTCGGGCGCGGCCCAGGATCTCCGCGAGGGGTCTTCGGCAGCGCTGCCGAATGCAGTGCCTGAGCAGCTGGGGCTCTTTCGCCAGCTTGCCATGAATGGTGCCGAAGCGTGGTGGATCGCCAAAGCTTTCGGATTTTGGGGCGATGGAGTCCGCTCGCGCTGTCTCGCCTCCTTTGGACACAACGCCGCCGCATTCGCCTGCCGTGTCCGCGGATATGGCGGATCCCCGTGCGCAGCCTATGTTGTGGGTGCCGTGCGCGATCTTGTCTGCCGTCATGACATCCGTTGCTGGTTCTAGTACGCCTGCCGAATCACAACCCGCTGGACGCAACGTCGGGCGACCGTGCTGTCGCCGGGTTCGGGGCCGCGGTTGTGCAGGTCGCGACAACCTTGGTCGTTGACAGATTTTGCAGCCGCATTTGGGCTGTATCGCGTGTCTATATAAACGTTCCGCTGCTGCTGCCGCCGCCGCTGTTCCCTTTTTCTTGCTGTAGTTGCAGCTGCCCTCTTCGTCATCCTCGTCATCTTCTTCCTCCCGCGCCCGAGAAGGCGCAAACGAATCGTCAGAGGATGGGCCCCGTACGACGCCGAGAGCGTGTGCCATTCAAGGCTGGATCATGCGGTTCAGGATTCGCCTCCACATGCTCTTTCTGATCTGGAAGATGTTGTTCGAGAAGTCGCCAACGAATGTGGCAGCGGCCCCAAGAGAGCAAGGAATGACAAGTTTTGGAACGATGCCGAATTCCAGTCACTGCTCGAACAACGGCGTGCGTGTTCAGACCCAGAGGTTCGCAGGGAGCTCTCCAAGCAGATACGGAAGCAGGCGCGCAAAGAAATCCAGCGGTGCAGGAACGACAGGGCTGAATATATTCTCAAGGAGTTCAAAGACTTGGATCAGTTAAGCCGACTGCGCTTCCTTCCCGCGCGCAATAAGCGGCAGGCTTCATCAACAGACGCCTCGCCGCAACAATTTGCAGACTTTCTTGCGGATGTTTTGGCTTCTGCTTGGGTGCACGACGCAGGCGTCAACTCGATGACAGAATATCTGCAACGATGCCAGCAACGGGGGCTCGAGGGCGTCCCTGAGTTCGTCGTGGACGAGCTCAGATACGCTCTGCGTAAGATGTGTTGCCGGAAGTGCAGGACGAGTGCGGCTTAGTTGTCGAAGTGTTCAAGTGTGCATCCGACGCTGTTTTGAGGCTTGTGCTGACCATGTTCAACAACATCCTGCGGACGGGCACCGTCGACCCGAGTTGGCACGACACGCTGTTCGTGATGCTTCCGAAAAAAGGGAGACAGGAGCAAACCCGGCAACTGGCGACCCATCGCCATCTTGCGGACAACGTATAAGATATTCTCAAAGTTGGTGTACGAAAGACTGAGAAGGCACCTTGAAGCAAAGCAGCCGCCAGACCAAGTGGGCTTCCGGAAGCAGCACTCAATCAACGACGCTTTCGCCGTGCTGGAGAACGTGTGCGGCAAGTCTCTGGAGTGGAATATCCCATGTTGGGTTGCAAGCCTTGATCTCAAGAAAGCTTTCGACCGAATCGAGTATCCTGCCCTGTTCGAGGCCTTGCGGGTACAAGGTGTGGAGCAGTCGTGCATAGCTCTACTTGCGATGCTTTACAATCATCAGACGGGGCGCGTGCAAGGCTCGCAGAACTTCGGCATCAACAAAGGTGTCAAGCAGGGGGACGTCATCAGCCCCATGCTGTTCATCGCCGGCTTGGAGCTCGCACTTTCCAGGTGGCAGCTCTCCCTTTGGCAATCGTGGACTTGACATCGGCGGCGTGTCCGGCGAGAGGCTCACCAACGTCTGATACGCCGACGATCTCATTGTCTATGCCACATCCTGCAGCGAACTGTGCACTGTGCGATATGATCGAGTCACTGTGCGTTGAAATCCTGACGACGGAGGACCTTACTGGGGCCGGCATACGTCGAGATTGGCGACGACATGGTCGAAATTCTGTTCGGCAGCGACACTCACTTATATTTGGGAAGGAAAGTGCCGAGGTCCTTGCGTCAACGCGCTGACGTTGAGTTGTCGCACCGGTTGCAGGCCGCTTGGGGCAAGTTCCATGAGCGACGGAGTATACTTACCGACAGACAGATTTCAATCCGTCGCCGCTTCAAGCTGTTCGATTCAGTCGTAACGCCTACGGTGCTGTTCGGTCCGCCAACGCTTGCCCTGACGGCGCGCCAGAAAGAGCAGCTGGACGTCCTGCAACGACGCATGCTGCGCTTGATTGTGGGGTGGGTGCGGCTTGGCGACGAAGACTGGAACGTCGCCATGCGTCGAATGAGCGACCGGGTCGACAGGGCTCTGTCATTGTACCCTGTTCGAAGCTGGCGGGAAAGGCTGGCCCTCCTGCAGTGCAATTTCGCCTGCCAGCTTGGGCAGAAACCCGACAGCTGGGCGCGCCGTGTATCAAGCTGGAGCCCGCCCTCAACCCATCCCGGGGCAGGCCGTGGACGAGGTCGTCCAGCATGTCGTTGGGGCGATCACTTGAAGTGCTCTCTTGCAGAGTTTGGTGAGCCATGGTATGTCGCTGCTCGAGACCGCAGGAAATGGCGTGCGCAGGTCGAGGGCTACACGCAAGACTTCTGAGTTCAGCTTTGCATGCAGATTTTCCATCGCCCGCCCGCACGAATTTTTAGCTTTCTGCCCGCGTCCGCTTGCGGACCGATTCGATTCGACCGGGCCTTGCTTGCTTCAAATGTCTGACAAGTTTGGGCTGTCGGTGGCGTCCTGGAGGGGGCAGTTGAGGCTCTCTTGGGCTTTCGTGGTTTGTTGGTCTGGGGTATGCAATGACAGAACATTGTTCTTAGAGGCAACTTCGGGCAGTCAGAAGTCCATCCTGGGCTGCATTGCAAACGTTCCATCTTCGGACCGCCACGGGGCCCGAGAGGCCGAGACAAACTACGGTCCTTTTGTGAATGGTGCGCCGTAGAGCCTGAGAATGACGGGGGTGCAACAGGTGGGCGTATGTGGCGTGGCCTGCCGAAAAGGGGGGTCGGCGGGGCGCCGACCATCTGTTCACGTGATAGCTCTTGTATATGGGATATATTTTATATAAGGATGTATTTATACATGTATGTATGTACGTATGCATGCATGCATGCATGCATGCATGTATGTATGTATGCATGCATGTATGTATGCATGCATTTTTTTATCTATGTATGTGTGTATGTATGTAGGTATGTACGCGTGCATGTATGTATGTATGTATGTATATGTGTATGCATGCACACATATGTCTGTGTATATGTGTCTGTCTCTGTGTGTGTGTGTGTGTGTGTGTGTGTGTGTGTGTGTGTGTGTTCGCTGCTGATGTAGTCTGGGAAGCTGCGCCCAACGAGCGGCCCCCTGGCCTGCTCCTGCGTCGCAGTCCGGCCGTGGATACACCGCTTCGCGGGGGGGCACGGCTGGACTGGCGGTCCGTCCGCCAGCGATCCAGAATCGGCGAATTTCGAGCGATTCGCGCTATCGGAAAGCCGCTCAATATTGAACGATCCACGGGGGGTCAGAAACAAACGCTCAAGTCGTTCCGACGGGGGCCAGCCGCGCCGATTTTTGTGTGTGTTGTTTTTTCTCCTTATATATATGTATATGTATATATATATATATATATATATATATAGCTCTCTCTCTCTCTATATATATATATATATATATATATATATATATAAGAAAAAATGCCTGAGCAGTGCAGCTCTTCTCTTCTTCCTTCAGCCAGCGTGCACTCCGTGCCGCGGCGGTCAGGGGACGCCCGGGGGTCCCTGCAGGCCGTGCTTCGCTCGGGGAGGCAGGGGTTGGTGAGGCGGCAGTGTGGGACGCGCCATCCGTAACAGGGAGGTCTGGGGCAAACAAGGGAGCCTCCCGTTTTTTGTTGCAGACGGCGACGTTCGAATCGGATAAAGGGGGGGGGATCGGGAAGGGGGGTGCCAACGAAGTCTGTTGCGCGCAGCTAGTTGCCGCCCCGTCGGTGGGAAACTCCCTCGATGCACGGGCGACCCTGGCGCTGGGAGAAGCTGACCAGATGCGCCGATTCGCTACCCCTCCTTCTGCTATCCCCCCCCCCTTCGTCCGACCCGAGGCGCAGACGACGGCGACGAAGCCGACGACGACGGCGCCCATTCCGCCCGCAGGGGCCCTGCGCGCGCGCCCCCTGTCAGCCAGCGGAAGCGCGCCGACGCCTGCGAGCCGACGCCTTTGAGCCGCAGGCCGTCTTGGGCTGTCGTCGTCGTTGTCGTCGTCGTCGTCGGTGTCGTCGTCGTCGTCGTCGTCGGTGGCGGCGGCGTCGGCGGCGGCGGCGGCGTCCGCGGCGGCGTCGGCGTCGACGTCGGCGTCGGCGTCGGCGTCGGCGTCGGCGTCGTCGTCGTCGTCGGCGTTGGCGTTGACGTCGGCGTCGCCGCCGTCCGTCGCCGCAGGGGGAGGAACAGAGATAAGGAAGAGTAATAGGGGAGGGAGGCGGCGAGGGAACGGGGGGGGGGCAGGCAATGCTCTCCCCGGGCTCTCCCGTTGCTTCTGCTCCGTGGCCTGTTTCTTCTGCAGTAGTGATCGGTTGGTTGGGGTCGATTGGTGGATGCATCGTCTTGCATGGTCTTCTCGGCATCAGTGCAACGGCATCGACGGTAGGCAAGGCATCTCTGCATAACAGTGTGTTTTTGTGCTCGATACCGCCGAGCAGACAAGGGTACAGTCGAGGTCGCAGAGCTTTGACCGAGCAGAACAGCATCGTCGCCAGAGCGCGTGTGCGTTGGTGATAGTTTTTTAATGCATTGTTTTGCCGATCGGCGCGGGCCCTCGCTCCCCTCCCCTCCCCCCCCATGGAGTAGATCTTGGCTGTTTTCGGCGAGGAGGAGGAGGAGGAGGAGGAGGGGGAGGATGAAGACGAGGACGAGGACGACGACGAGGACGAGGAGGAGGAGGAAAGTGGCGAGGCGGGAGGGAAGGGCAGAAGCAGGGGAGGGATTCGGGCGGAGGGTACGTAGGGGGATAGTGAGTGAGTGAGGAAGGGGGTCAGGCACAGGAGGAGGGGAGGTGAGGGGTGATGCGGTAGAGTGGGTGTCAGGGCTTCCGATCTAGCGCGATGGAACCTGCCCAGCGTCCCTGGTGCATCCAGTCATGGTCTCATCATTTTGCCTTCTGAGCGGCCCCTCCGGTCATGAATACTCGGAAGGGAGGTTCCTATGCTTTGCTGGGTGCAGGAAGGGCTTTCCGCCGCCGTTTTAGGTCGACCTTCTGCGCCCGCCCCAGTCGCGCCTTGTACAGACCGCCTTGTTCCGCGTATTGAAAAACACCGCATTCAATCCTGATCGTTCTTTTCTAGTTGGTAGCGGAGCCTCGGCTCCGTGGTCCACAGCCGCCATGGCCCGCGTGGCTTTTCCCCCCGCCAGGCGTCGACCGCGCTGGCATCCCACCTGCATTTCCTTGTACAGCCTCAACAACTTCAGCCTCTCCAAGGATTTCGCCTTCGGGCTCTTCGAATTCACCGCCTTCCACGTTTCAGCCCGTTCAAGGGCCGGATCGCCTTCGCATTGCTCTACCAATCCTTCGCGATGGGGTAGCCGCGCCAGTACATTTCCGGGAACATCAACTCCAAGGGCCGCGTCCCCGCACTTCTCCTCCCGGCGCCTTCTCCCGGGCTCGCCCAGACTTTGTCTGAGCAGTTTGTGGACCCAACGCCGTTAGTGCATTCGCTTGTGAATGCAGCCTCAGACGTCAGACAGTTGACTTACGCAGCGTTCGCGTCTACGGTGTTGGCGAAGGGTCCCGAGCTCCCGTTGACTATGTTGCAGAAGCCATGGGGGTGTCTCATTGCGTCCTCCTGTGGGTGTAGCCGAAAGTGTCAGACAATAGATCGATGGAGCGTTCAAACTTCCGATGTTGGCGAAGCGTCCCGAGCTATTGGTAAAGACGTTGCCGGCACTGGGGGGTTCAGGCAGAGAAGAGCGAAAGGGTACAGCAGGATTTGGCCACTATGTGGTCAGCACTCCGAGGGTCCGCGACGCGAGCTTGGGACCATTCGTCCTCCTTTCGGAACCGGATTGTCCTTGTCAGTCGCGCATTCCCGGCCACTTGGCATACCTAGATCCCGGTGCCGCCTCATCTTGGCAATCGCGCGGTTGGTGGTTCCTGGTGCCGTGACAAAGTGACAACGTGACGCACGACGAGCGTTCCCGTGACCACGTCGAGGGATGCTCAGAGTGCCGACCGTACTTCAAGCAACCGACAGCAAAACACATGGCTAAAACATTGACGAGGAACATACTTGGGACAGGTACCCGCGGCGGCTTCGATGCAGTCTGCCCGAACATCGCCGCTGGTGGGCTCCAGGGCTCCAGTGCCTCCTCGATACATGGATGGGGATTCCATCCCAAACGGAAGGCCATCGGCGTGGGAGGCCAGCCAGGAGGAAATTGATCAAAAAATGGAGGGCCCCCCCCCCAGGAGCCCCCAAAGGGCCCACACCTTACGTGCAATTTATGATTCATTGGCTTACGCCACGTCGCCGACCCCTTGGGGCGGCAGCAATCGTCCCCCGCGTGGCCTGTCCGGACAGCCTGTGAGGCCCCTCTAGACACGTTCTGGAGCCCTCTTAGGACCGTCCTGCCGTTCCCCCGGGCCGTATGGTTTTTGGGGCCTTCGTGGGGCGCCCAGAGGCCGTCGTGGAGATTTTTCGAGAGTCCCTAGGGGCGCCAGAGCTCGATCTTGGAGGTTTACTGGGCCGTTGTGGGCCTCGTGGAAGCCCAAGAAACGAATATGTTGAAAATGTATGTTCTACCTGGGAATGGGGCGGTTTTTGCTTCGGGGGGCCTGCTTGGAGCGCCTCGTGGTCGCGTATGCAAACGTCTTGGACGCCCATGGGGCTGTCTGAAGGTAGTCCTGGGCGGTTTGGACCGAAGCGTCCCCCGCGTGGGCCGTCCGGACAGCCTTTGGGAGCCCTCCTGTCCCGTTTTGGAGCCCTCCTTGGACCGTCCTGCGGCTTTCCTGGGCCGTTGCTATGGTTTCTGGGGACTTCGTGGATCGCCCGGGCGCCGTCTTGGAGCCTTCTTGGGGTTCTCTTCGGGTGACAGGGGTCGATCTTGGAGGTTTATTGGGCCGTTGTGGGCCTCGTGAAAGCCCATGAAGCGCATGTGCTGAAAATGTACGTTTCACTAAGGGAATGGGGCGGTTCTTGCTTTTTGGGGGCCTTCTTGGAGCGCCTCGTGATCGCGTTTTCAAGCGTCTTCGACACCCATGGGGCCGTCTGGCGGCGATCTTGGGCGGTTTGGACCGAATCGTTCCCCGCGTGGGCCTCCGGACAGCCTTTGGGGGCCCTCTTGCCGCGTTTTGGTGAGCGAACAGCCGAGGCACGAATGCTGTTCGCGGGCGCAGCAGCGAGGCTGCGCTGCGCGTGCGTCCGCGCGCCACGCAGCGAGCGAATGAGCTTGCGAGGGGCGCATCGCCGCGAGGCGAACAGCACGCGAAACGCGAGAAAGATGGAGCCGCGGCTTTGTCGGCTGCGACGCGGCTAGGCCGCCGCGGAGGGAGCGAACGCGAGCGTTCACCGCGGCGCCGGCCAGCCTTGCCGCGCACAGGTGAAATCACAATTTGACCGCGGCAGGCGGGGCGCCATCTCTGGCCTGGGCGCGTTTCGCCTGCCGCGTCTCGGTCTTGCCCGCGGCTTCGGCCCCGGGCGCGTCGTCCTGGCCCCCTCCCTGTCGCTTCGCTTCGCCTTCGCCGCGGCCCGTCTTGCTTTCGCCGCGTGGCCCGTTTTCGGCCCGTGTGTTGGCCCTGAGGTGTCCTGGTTTGTTCCCGCCGTCGGGCCCCTCGCTCGGCCCCTCGTCCCCGTGGCCCGCCGCCTTTGTCTGCCCTGTCCCCGCTTGCCCGTGGCCCGGCCCCGTCGCTCTCCCGCCCGCGTCGCCGCGCGCCGGCTGGTCGCCCGCCCTCCGCTTCGCCCGCCGCGCGCGCAGGTTCCACCTCCTCTCCCCCGCGCGCGCGCGCGATTTGCGGCCCCGCCGAGGTGGGCGGGCCGCGCTGATTCGCCTTTCCTGGTTCGCCCTTCGCCCGCCTCTCCCCCGTTGTGGGGTTGCGGACTCCTTTCCCTGCTCGCTCGCGGTCCCGTGTCCCGGCCCCTTTGGGGCCGCCCGCTCTCGGCTGGGCTGCCTCGCTCGGTCGGCGGCTCTCGGGCTGGCTCCGGCTCTCGTTCGGCGGCTCTCGGGCGCGTTGCCTGCGGGCGCGTTGCGTCGCGGCCTGGCCCCCTCCGTGGGGTGGCGGACCCGGTGGGTGCGCTCGGGCCGGCGGTCGGTTGGCCGGGCGCTGCTTCGCTGCCGCGTCGTCGCGTCGTTGTCGGTTCGTCGTGCCGCCGCCGCCGCGTCGTCGCACGCTGTCGCCGCCGCTGCGGGCCGGTCGGTCGGCGGCGCTCCTGGGCCCGCGCTGCCGCGCTTTCCGGCCCTGGTGTTCTGGGGGTCCCCGGCCCGGTGTCCCTCCCCGGTTCTGGGCGCTCCTGGTCCTTCCTCGGGCGCGGTGCTCCGCTCCCTCGTCGCCTCTGCTGGTCGCGGCTCGGCTTGCGGCGGGCGCGCTGCCGTGGCTCGAAATTTTCTTTTGGCCCATGATCGGGCTCTGCGCTACTATGCGCAAGGGTATCGCGGACCCGCGGTAGGAGACCTGGGACGTTGTGGCGCCCAGGCGCCCTGCCACGGGATCCGCGGTTCCCCTTCCCCGCGCCCACGCCCGCACTGGCGGGCAGGTGGATCGCGGGGATCCCGGCCGGTCTGGCTGTCGTCTCGACCGGTCGGCGTGGTGCGTGCCCAATAGCCGGCGCGCGCGCGCCCGAGGCTACGCCCATCCGCGCGCCCTGTCGCCGTTTGGCCGGCGCGATCACTGGACGTGTACGGTCGGCCCACTGGGGCCCTCTGGGAGCGGTGCGACGGCCCACTGGGGCCCGCGTCGCAGTATTCGCGGCTCCCGGCGACGCGTCAACGCCGCCCCCAGTTCCGCCGGCATGGTCCATGGACGTGCTCGGTCGGCCCATTGGGGCCCCACTGGGAGGTTGTCGCTCAGGCCCACTGGGGCACTGATGCGATTGTCTGGCGACGGCCCATGGAGGCCCGCGCCGTGCCGAGGTGCTCGTTTCGGCTCCGGTGGCGCAGTGCGTCCTCCGCCCCTGCGCTGGGTCTGCGTGCCGGCTCAGGAGAGCGGGTCACCGGGGCCCGCGGTGCATTGGTCGCTCAGGCCC